GGGCCCCAGGCTGCCCAGCGCCGGTGCCTCCTGGCAGCCGGGCAGTCGGCAGAGCGGCCCCCGAGGGCCGGTTCCGGCTGTGATTCCAGACATTCCGCACATGTTTCTGCCGCCTTTTGTCTGATCCAGCGCTGGAATTTCGCTGCTGCTGGGATTTCTCCAGGAGGAATGCGGGTGGTGCATTTCAGGAACGGCTGCAGCTTGCACACTGGGTTTAATGGGCACAGCAGGTGTGAGGAAGGACTCTCGTAATCCCCAGGGTGTTTTTCTGCCTTTTATGTTTGCTTTCCAGTGTTGTTTTTATCCTCTTGGCATCATCCTTCTCTTTCTGGCTCCTGGCCCTGCCCGTGGGTGGCAGGAGCAGGTTGATGAACTGGTTCTGCCTCTCAGAGAGGGAGACCCAAACCCAACCGCTGCTTTCCTGCCCATGCAGACGCTTGTTTTGATGGTGAGTGACTCATGCAGTCTTTCATTCTGCAGTGATGGTTTTCTCACTTTCTTGGAATTACCTGTGGATTCCTTAATGAAGAGATTTTCCTATGCTTGAACCAGGATGGAAATTTTATAATCCAGCAAGCAGAAGTTACATTAGCAGGATTAACAGATACCTGCAGCAAGTGTTCCAACTTGTAGAGCAGAAGGGTCAGCGCAGGAGCCTCCCGGGGCTCCGGAGAGGAGCCGTGTTCATCCCTCCTGAGGCGGGAGCGGTGATGCCGACTCCAGGGAAAGGCAGCCGCATCCATGAGGGTTCACTCAAAAGAAAGCTCTGCAGTAACGGGCTGTATAGGGACCAAAACACCTTGAAATATGTAACCAGGCAGCGTTTTCCTCCTTTCCTCATGAATGTTGCCATACTGCCTTTTTTTTTCCCCCTCTTTGGCTTTTTTTTTTTCTTTTTTCATTTTTGTTCCTTTCTTGATAGAAATAAATCTCCATCTTTCTCTTGAGGATGAATTTTCCAAAACATTGTATTTGAAGGATACCGAATCCTAGTTATCTTCAAATAGAATATAAAAAAATAAAAAACCTTTCTAACCATACATATATATATGTATATATGTATATATGTATGTTTCTGTTTGGGATCCAGGAGGGCCTTCGTAGGCTGACTGCAAAACAAACCCGTAGATCTCAGTGAATTTAGGTTCGTTCTGATATTAGTGCATCCAAAGGTTGAGGGTGATTTGTGCTTCAGAAATCCCGTTTTATGGCAGAAAAGTTATTTGATCATGATTTATTAATTAAGGGGAAGGAAAGCTCTGTAAATAAAGGGCTTTTTAAGTTGGATCATAACAGGATTGGTTCTTAAAGTCATATTAAGAATCTATCGGATGTTCTCTGCCCTAGATTGGGTAATCTCATAGTTTCCAGTGGTGAGGGAATGTTTTAACCACTTGAGCATGAGGTTTAGATTTTTTTTTCCCAGACGAGTGGATTGTTGTCCACAAGATCTTCTTTCGCCGTTTTAACCATGCTAACATTTTTTGCTCTGTCTTTGGCTGGCAGATGAGAAAGCTAAATCTGAACACGCTGTCCTTGGCAGTGATTTTTCTTTCCACTCCTCCAGTCAGTGGTAACATAATTTCTATCTCCTTGTTATTGTTGAGGCACTGGATTTTACCGCGATTGTCTCCCAGTTACCTATTCCAGCTGGGACTTTTTTTGTGTTCTTAGTATTGCATAATTCGCGTCTCGACTGCTGAAAGTTTTTCATAGTCCTGCTAATGACTCCTATTCCCTGCAAAATCATGACAGCAGGAAGCAGGCGAGTACAGAGCTAACGGGAGCGTTACCCAGATGAGGAGCTTCCCAAACGCCTCTCCTGCAGGATTTGGCAGCGTCACCCAGCACCTGCCACTGACCTCCCTCTCCCTGTCCCCATCAGCCCCTTTAGAGCTGCGTGGAGTCCTGGGAAGAGGCTTTCTTAAAGCAACATTCCCTTTCCAGTTTGGAACTTTATAACACAGTCCATGATGATCCACAGGCACTTATTTTAATTTTAACATGCAACAAAAAATAAATAATTCTAGGTGGTACACAGCTTAAATTATCCAGTTTGACAAGTTAAAAAAAAAAAGGATAATTCATAAATGTTCAAAATTTCTTCAGTGTAAAATTGCTCTATTTGTGCAATGCCTACTTAGTGCAAATGAATTTCTCTTCTAAATCTAGAATTTCTGATTTATACAGTCCCTTAATATGTTTGGGCTTGGGGGTGTTACAAATAAAGTCCCCTGCTTTATACCTGCACCAAATACTGTTGGTCTTTCCCCAGAAAAGCTGGCCAGCCTCTTGCTGCACCATCTTCTGCATTTCCTGCCCTTGATGGGAATTTGTGCAAGAGAAAAATCTCCTGGAAGGGTGTTTTGTGCATTCCTTTTATTACAGACAGTGAGCGATTCTTGCCCTGTCTCCTGGGCTAATAATTCCCATCTCTAAAGGCTGTTTCTAAACCAGGGAGCAGCAGAATTACCCAAAGCCATCTGTCCTAGCATATTTTTCCGCTGCTTTTCAAACCCACAGGAAGCCCTGATGAGCTACACGCTTCCTTCCCTTTTCCTGAGTGACTCTGCTACGAGGAATGACAGTCAACGCGGCCAAGTCCGGCTGGGATAGACGCTTTTCTAGGGCTGCACCCAGGCTTCCCGAAAGGAAAAGCAAGTGGATCTGTGCTTTATGGCAGAAAGGACAGGCCGTGTCTGCTGAAACCCTCGCCCTGCAGAGAACAAGGTGAAAACACACAAGTCTCGGAGATACAGTCGTCTGCCTTACAGATATATTTTGAATTGGTTATAAAACAAATCTTGCTTCTGACAGTCAGCTACTCCTAGACTTTAATTAAAGCTATCCCATCTGCATGCTCTCTGCGCAAGTACTCAGACTGCTTTGGTTTCTTGCTGGATCAGAAATGATGAACAGTTTTTCCTATTAAGTTTGAAATCTGAGCCACGCTATGCAGGACTTCAAAGTGGGTGTTTTGTCAGGGATGGGTCAGAGAAATGCAGCTGGTTGGTGACGCAAAATGTTCGGGAATGCTAGACCCTGATCTGGTCCGAGACGGCGCTGTCTTTTTCCCGGCAAGTTTGGTGTTTTGTACAGAGCTGCAAGATCCGTTCGTCTTTGCATCCGCTTCCTTACCCCCTCCCAAGCCCATATTCACTTCAAACTTCCATAAGACAAAACAAACAAGCAAACAAAAATCCCCTTGATGCCAGTATAAAGAAACGGCAGCGCATGAACCAAGACAGCCCGTGGCGAGCTACGTTCAGGTCCTCCTTTAGTGAGGACTGCAAATGGCACGTGAATACTTTGCAGTTTGGTTCCATCCTGCAGCCTGTTTCTCAGCAGCAGAACTCCCGCTTTGCAAAATTTAATTTCTGCAATGACTCTGTGTTTGCTGCAAGGAATATTCCATGCTTCCCACCAAGGTGCATGCCTGAGGATTTTCTTTCTCTGTGCTGATGAGGGAGTAGGGAAGGAAGGGCAGGGACTGCTAATCTTCAGAATAACATCACACCTATGGTGTTCTGCTCAGATATGTCCTGACTATAATCTCCCACACTTGCAAGTATTTCGTGTCTTACCACATAGTCCAAACTAACCCGAGCTGTGAAGGATATATATATATATTTGCCCTTAGAACTGGTGTTTTTTGATGCAACTTTTAGTTTTCCCACTTCCCAGGTCATCCCTTCACTAGAGCTCTGTGTTGGTGACAGTTTTAAAATCCTTTGTGTCTCTCCTTAGTATTTGGCTCCCCGATCCAGCAGTTTGCACGCCTGTCCCTGCAGCCCACACGTCTATCCCATGGCGGTGACGGGCCATTCCGCGCGCTGGGCTGCGTCGTCCCTGCCGGGCTGCAGGTGATGGAGCAGATGGGAATGACACGGGAAGCGGGTTGCTGTTCCGGACGGCCCGCAGCCTCTCCACGCAGCAGGTTGCTCCTTCGCTGGGCCAGTCCCGACCTGCAAGTTCGGTTCAGATTCCCCATTCACAAACTCGGTCGCCACCGCCCCGCGCCACAGCCCTGCCTGCCGAGTCCCTCATTGCTTGTGTCACGGCGCTCGGTGGCTTCTCGGCAGCCGACTGGGGCTACAGGTGGGAGACGAAGCGGATGCGCTGGGAGTAGGCCAGGTCCGCGACGTAGAGCAGCAGGTTGACGTAGGTGAAGATGGCGATGACCAGCTGGCTGTCCCAGGGGCAGCGGCCCTTGGCGCAGAGCGCGGGGCGCCGCGGGGAGC